AAAGGCTTTTTGGTATGTGTAATAATCTGCAAGAGCACTGGCTAAAAATTAGGAGATTTGTTTTATAATTCTGCATAAAATTAGGATAATTCCAACTGAAGGAACACGTCTAAGGTATAGTGCATCTCTCTAGATTTATACTCAAATTCTGATTGAAATATATATATATATATATATTTATTTTGTTTTCACAGATGGGTACAGGAGTAGACGACTTCAGAGTGCTGTCAGAGAAGACTTAAAGCTGTCCCCAACCTTCCTCTTCCTGCTGGGAAAGCTCTCAGGTAAGACTCTCTCTTTATTCACATGTACATCATCTCCCTTTGTGTGTCCACGCGCCCCTAGGAGGGCCCCCTTGTCAAATTTTGAAAGACCATGACCCACGTGGGGAAATTTTGAAAGACCATGTTATGCTCTTACTGATTTGAAAACCTTTTCCTTGAACATTTTTCCTCTAGCACACCATTACCCTGTTCACAGATGGGCAGGCGATGAGTCACAATAACGTGGCTAAAGTAAGTTGACCAGACCACACACTAGAAGGTGAAGGGACGACGACGTTTCGGTCCGTCCTGGACCATTCTCAAGTCGATAGATGGTCAATTCACAGATGGGTGTCAGTCTGTAGACCGTGTTGGCTACTCCATTGTCATTCCTGATTAAACCTGTATGTGCTATCTTCACGGTGGAGTTTGAGGCAATTTTGTGTTCTTTTTCGTCAAATATATTTTTAACATCAATGTTCCTATATAACTGTGGTTGATTGTCGCAGGTTCTTCATAGTTCAGGAGGGTTTTTAACCCTTTGCATTTATAGTCATTTCTTAAATAATGTTGGATAAGTTTTTGAACCTATTCTATGTAGATCTAAATAATTAGGAAGACTTTCAGGGTGAGGATATGTGTACAGGAGTCTGGCTTTGGGGGGATTACTTGAACAGATTGTCGAAGGTTGCCAGGGGTAAAGTTGGCTGGCTTGTGTGTGTATACTGTCAACACTGTTAGATGGTTGTTAGGTTCACTGCCCTCACCTGGAATGTGTATACACTGATGGGTAGTGAGTGTTCACTGATTACACTGTCACCATGCGTGGGGATGTCGTGAGGGCAATCCGCTTGCTTGCTTGTTTTCATGCTTGTAAACTGTTTAATAAATGTAACCAAAGCCGTCAAAGATTGAGGAAAGATGTACACGTTCGTAAGTGCTTGCGTAACTGCTTCTCATGAATCTGGCCCCAGGTGTGTGTGAGAGTTCAGGAGCCGCACTGCTGGGGGGAAACATTCCCCCGTGTGAGGCCCCCCAGGGGCTGCTGGGCCAAGCCTGCCTCGGCGCCATCTTAAATGAAGGATTACCAGTTTCTAAATTACGGCGTCTTGTTCGAAGTTAACGAGCATTTTATTGGCGCCCGATAATTTTAATGAAAGGCTGAACCGGAAGTAGGAAAAGGAGAAGGAGGAGGAGGTGGGTAGAGGTATAAGGAACGAAGGAGAAGGTATGGAGAAGAGACAGGGATGAGGAGCTGAAGAAATCTAGCAAGACATATCTACGAAACCTCTTTATCTATGCTGGTATTTCTGCCCTTGTGTCTAGAGGGATAAATGAGGGTATCTAAGGGGGGTCCACAACAGCCTAGCCATTTCTCTCCCGTCCGGGATTCGAACCCGGGATTCCCGATTGCGAGTCGAGAACGAACCTGGCTGCACTACCGGGATGGGTGGGATATGATATGGAGGGACTAACGAGGATGATATCATGCCTGGAGGATGGCATGATATCTGGATATCAGATTAACCTCTAGATTCTTAAATCGGGATTAGCAAGCCACGTCAGCAGAGGCGGGGCCAGAGAGCTGGAGTCTCAACACCCAGAAGCATAACTAGGCGAGTATAATTAGGGCGGAAGTTCTGGCATGGCGTAGAACTTATAGAACCGTGAACTTATATATATGGAAGTTCGCGCGCCAAAAGGAGTCCAGACTGTTTTGAAATTTTGAAAATTATCTAATCGTTGAATTTGACTCGTTTTGTCTAGGACTAATCTTTCCGTGTTGTGCATTCAAGTGCTAAAGTTGCTGATTGAAATTGGCTTTTGAAAATTGGTTGGACAAATTAGTTTGTCGAATCCAGAGTTTTTTTTTATAAGCCTTAGGGTAAGCAAACAGCCTAGCGCGAGGCTAATGATTTGTTTCTTTTTGTGTTCTGTTTTGTTCCCCTCACGGTATAATGACTTTTATCATGATGATTACTGTTATCAGAAGCATCATCACTGTCGCAGTAATCATCATCATCCTCACAATCTCCCCGTCTTTCAGTATCAACATTTCTTTCATCTTCAACACTATATCACTATCATTTCAGTGGCCTCCAATACCACCACCACATTCGCCTTGACCATCATCACAACAGTTCTCTATATCACCACAATCACAATACCCACAATCAGTCGCCACCATCACCATCCAACAACACTCACCATTACTCCTCTTGACTTAAACACAATCGTCAGGAACACAATCATTAACCTGAAGAAAAATAATATTAAAATCTAAACGCCTCTCTAGAGACCACTAAATATTAAAAAATATATTTCAAACAGCAATTGATTGAAACAAATATCTTATAGACAGGAAGGAGATTTTTGTATATTAGGGATGAGGGGGGTGATATTAATATACTCGTATGATATATGGGTATATTCGTATGATATAGTCATTATATTCAAGTGTAATAGGCTTCAAACCCGGAATGCATAAATCTGTAAAAAATGAAATTGCTCTCTGGTATGTGTGATAATCTGTAGGAGCACTGGTTAGAATCTCTTGATGTTAGGCGGTCAAGACTTGGTAGAACCTATGGTGGTGCTGGTATTCTCTTGTCTTAATAATATGTGGTTGTAAAATTGATATCAATTTCGTATCGGGGCCCACTACGGCTCTTCTTGTTTCTAGTAGTGCTAAGAGGCGTTGTGTGTGTGTGTGTGTGTGTGTGTGTGTGTGTGTGTGTGTGTGTGTGTGTGTGTGTGTGTGTGTGTGTGTGTGTGCGTGCGTGTGTGCGTGTGCGTGTGCGTGTGCGTGTGTGTGTGTGTGTGTGTGTGTGTGTGTGTGTGTGTGTGTGTGTGTGTGTGTGTGTGTGCGTGTGTGTGTGTGTGTGCGTGTGTGTGTGTGTGTGTGTGTGTGGGGTTTCCCTGACTACTTCTGAAGCTCAGAGGACCTATAGTGATCCGATCATATAAATTGTGGAATCATATCCGTGGAAATAAAGCTGTTTATCTGAGCATGTATGGATGAGTATCCATCCACGGAAGGGTGGATGACAATTTATTTTGTAAACCTCTCTTTGTTTTTCTAATATATATATATATATATATATATATATATATATATATATATATATATATATATATATATATATATATATATATATATATATATATATATATATATATATATATATATATATATATATATATATATATATATATATATAATCACCTTTCAAATGTCACTTACTTTATGGCTAAAGACTTAAGTTTGATTTAGACAGCTATACACCCCCTTAAGTCCAGCTAGTATAGCCGTAATCTGTCCAAGTTTTGGTTAATAAAGTTTGTGACTTTGATAATGGGAGTATAGATGCTGGGGTGTTGTTGTAATGGGTAATTAATGTCCTCTTTATGTAAAATTGGCCAATTATGAGTGTACAAGTATGAATAGACCTCTGGGTTTGATTGGTTCATTATGTAGAGAAAACCGAGTGGTGGAGTGACAGATGTTGATTGGGAGGTGGTGATTAGGGAGGTGGAGTCACAGGTGGTGATTGGTGGGTGGTAATTAGGGAAGTGGAGTCACAGGTGGTGGTTGGTGGGTGGTGATTAGGGGGGTCACAAGTGGTGATTGGGTGGTGTGGAGTCACAGGTGGCGATTGGCGGGCCTCAGAGAGATGGTTGATCACATTATGAATACTAATTACAGCGTTGGCGAACAAACAAGGCTCCTGGTAATTAGGTCCACCATCTCATCTTCATCCACTTGACGATGCAAAAATATCAGAAGGAAATGGAAAAAATCAAGTAATTAAACCGATAAAAATACTCGCACGCAAACACACACATACACACACACACACACACACACACACACACACACACACACACACACACACACACACACACACACACACACACACACACACGCACGCGTGTCGAGCACGCAACCATTTGTACAATGGCACTCAAACTGGCACTCAAACCTTGCGTGCTTGTTAACCATCTAGGTTAAACCCCACACTCTAACAACCTCATCACCTGGTTGATGGGGTTCTGGGAGTTTGGTCCACCAGGCTGTTGCTTGGAGCGGCCCGCAGGCCCACATATACCTGGTTGATGGGGTTCTGGGAGTTCTTCTACTCCCCAAGCCCGGCCCGAGGCCAGGCTTGACTTGTGAGAGTTTGGTCCACCAAGTTGTTGCTTGGAGCGGCCCGCAGGCCCACATATACCTGGTTGATGGGGTTCTGGGAGTTCTTCTACTCCCCAAGCCCGGCCCGAGGCCAGGCTTGACTTGTGAGAGTTTGGTCCACCAGGCTGTTGCTTGGAGCGGCCCGCAGGCCCACATATACCTGGTTGATGGGGTTCTGGGAGTTCTTCTACTCCCCAAGCCCGGCCCGAGGCCAGGCTTGACTTGGGAGAGTTTGGTCCACCAGGCTGTTGCTTGGAGCGGCCCGCAGGCCCACATATACCTGGTTGATGGGGTTCTGGGAGTTCTTCTACTCCCCAAGCCCGGCCCGAGGCCAGGCTTGACTTGTGAGAGTTTGGTCCACCAGGCTGTTGCTTGGAGCGGCCCGCAGGCCCACATATTCCTGGTTGATGGGGTTCTGGGAGTTCTTCTACTCCCCCAAGCCCGGCCCCAGGCCATAGGCTTGACCTGTGAGAGCTTGGGTCATGTGGTTGATTATTTTGAAAGACAGTGCCAGGGGTAAAACCCATCAAATCCAGAGATAAACCCATTCAAACCAGGGATAAACCCTGATTTGTAGGGGTTATATGGCACTTGTATGGGTTAAAGTTGATGTTAAACTTAACACTTCCATATAAAATAGGTGTATTTAGGTCGCCTGTGGACAAATTATTGTGAAATATATCATTCTAAATAAAACAGAATGTCTGTCAGTCAGTCCGAGCACTTGGGACTCTACGCTCGGGAATAGTCTATTAAACTTTGTAAGGTTAGTTGCAATTTTATTGGGAGCATCATAAGAGGGTTGGGATTAGCCCAGTGCCCCCCCTGAAGAGAGGGACGACCCCAGTGCCCCCCCTGAAGAGAGGGACGACCCCAGTGCCCCCCCCTGGAGAGAGGCACGACCCCAGTGTCCCCCCCTAGAGAGAGGGACGACCCCAGTACCCCCCCTGGAGAGAGAGGGACGACCCCAGTGCCCCCCTAGAGGGACGACCCCAGTGCCCCCCCCTAGAGGGACGACCCCAGTACCCCCCTGGAGAGAGGGACGACTCCAGTACCCCCCTGGAGAGAGGGGGACGACCCCAGTACCCCCTAGAGAGAGGGACGACCCCAGTGCCCCCCTGGAGAGAGGGGGACGACCCCAGTACCCCCTAGAGAGAGGGACGACCCTAGTGCCCCCCTGGAGAGAGGCACGACCCCAGTGCCCCCCCCCCCTGGAGAGAGGAACGACCCCAGTGCCCCCTTTAGAGAGAGGGACGACCCCAGTGCCCCCTGGAGAGAGAGGGACGACCCCAGTGCCCCCCTGGAGAGAGGGACGACCCCAGTGTCCCCCCTAGAGAGAGGCACGACCCCAGTGCCCCCCTGGAGAGAGGGACGACCTCCAGTGCCCCCCTGAACAGAGGCACGACCCCAGTGCCCCCCCTGGAGAGAGGGACGACCCCAGTGCCCCCCTGAAGAAAGGCACGAGCCCAGTGCCCCCCTGAAGAAAGGCACGACCCCAGTGCCGCCCTGAAGAGAGGGACGACCCCAGTGCCCCCCTGGAGAGAGGCACGACCCCAGTACCCCCTGGAGAGAGGGACGACCCCAGTACCCCCGTGGAGAGGCACGACCCCAGTACCCCCCTGGAGAGAGGCACGACCCCAGTACCCACCTGGAGAGAGGCACGACCCCAGTACCCCCCTGGAGAGAGGCACGACCCCAGTACCCCCCTGGACAGAGGGACGACCCCAGTACCCCCTGAAGAAAGGCACGACCCCAGTGCCCCCCTGAAGAAAGGCACGACCCCAGTGCCCCCCTGAAGAAAGGCACGACCCCAGTACCCCCCTGGACAGAGGGACGACCCCAGTACCCCCTGAAGAAAGGCACGACCCCAGTGCCCCCTGAAGAAAGGCACGACCCCAGTGCCCCCTGAAGAAAGGCACGACCCCAGTGCCCCCTGAAGAAAGGCACGACCCCAGTGCCCCCTGAAGAAAGGCACGACCCCAGTGCCCCCTGAAGAAAGGCACGACCCCAGTGCCCCCCTGAAGAAAGGCACGACCCCAGTACCCCCTGGACAGAGGGACGACCCCAGTACCCCCTGAAGAAAGGCACGACCCCAGTGCCCCCCTGAAGAAAGGCACGACCCCAGTGCCCCCTGAAGAAAGGCACGACCCCAGTACCCCCCTGGACAGAGGGACGACCCCAGTACCCCCCTGAAGAGAGGGACGACCCCAGTACCCCCTGAAGAAGGGCACGACCCCAGTACCCCCTGAAGAAAGGCACGACCCCAGTACCCCCCTGAAGAAAGGCACGACCCCAGTACCCCCCTGGACAGAGGGACGACCCCAGTACCCCCCTGAAGAGAGGGACGACCCCAGTACCCCCCTGAAGAGAGGGACGACCCCAGTGCCCCTCTAGAGAGAGGCACGACCCCAGTACCCCCCTGAAGAAAGGCACGACCCCAGTACCCCCCTGGAGAGAGGGACGACCCCAGTGCCCCCCTGAAGAAAGGCACGAGCCCAGTGCCCCCCTGAAGAAAGGCACGACCCCAGTGCCGCCCTGAAGAGAGGGACGACCTCAGTGCCCCCCTGGAGAGAGGCACGACCCCAGTACCCCCTGGAGAGAGGGACGACCCCAGTACCCCCGTGGAGAGGCACGACCCCAGTACCCCCCTGGAGAGAGGCACGACCCCAGTACCCCCCCTGGAGAGAGGCACGACCCCAGTACCCCCCTGGACAGAGGGACGACCCCAGTACCCCCTGAAGAAAGGCACGACCCCAGTGCCCCCTGAAGAAAGGCACGACCCCAGTGCCCCCCTGAAGAAAGGCACGACCCCAGTACCCCCCTGGACAGAGGGACGACCCCAGTACCCCCTGAAGAAAGGCACGACCCCAGTGCCCCCCTGAAGAAAGGCACGACCCCAGTGCCCCCTGAAGAAAGGCACGACCCCAGTGCCCCCTGAAGAAAGGCACGACCCCAGTGCCCCCTGAAGAAAGGCACGACCCCAGTGCCCCCTGAAGAAAGGCACGACCCCAGTGCCCCCCTGAAGAAAGGCACGACCCCAGTACCCCCCTGGACAGAGGGACGACCCCAGTACCCCCTGAAGAAAGGCACGACCCCAGTGCCCCCCTGAAGAAAGGCACGACCCCAGTGCCCCCCTGAAGAAAGGCACGACCCCAGTACCCCCCTGGACAGAGGGACGACCCCAGTACCCCCCTGGACAGAGGGACGACCCCAGTACCCCCCTGGACAGAGGGACGACCCCAGTACCCCCTGAAGAAAGGCACGACCCCAGTACCCCCCTGAAGAGAGGGACGACCCCAGTACCCCCCTGAAGAGAGGGACGACCCCAGTACCCCCCTGAAGAGAGGGACGACCCCAGTACCCCCTGAAGAGAGGGACGACCCCAGTACCCCCCTGGAGAGAGGGACGACCCCAGTACCCCCCTGGACAGAGGGACGACCCCAGTACCCCCTGAAGAAAGGCACGACCCCAGTACCCCCCTGGACAGAGGGACGACCCCAGTACCCCCCTGAAGAGAGGGACGACCCCAGTACCCCTGAAGAGAGGGACGACCCCAGTACCCCCCTGAAGAGAGGGACGACCCCAGTACCCCCCTGAAGAGAGGGACGACCCCAGTACCCCCCTGAAGAGAGGGACGACCCCAGTACCCCCCTGAAGAGAGGGACGACCCCAGTACCCCCCTGAAGAGAGGGACGACCCCAGTACCCCTCTGAAGAGAGGGACGACCCCAGTACCCCCCTGAAGAGAGGGACGACCCCAGTACCCCCCTGAAGAGAGGGACGACCCCAGTACCCCCCTGAAGAGAGGGACGACCCCAGTACCCCCCTGAAGAGAGGGACGACCCCAGTACCCCTCTGAAGAGAGGGACGACCCCAGTACCCCCCTGAAGAGAGGGACGACCCCAGTACCCCCCTGAAGAGAGGGACGACCCCAGTACCCCCCTGAAGAGAGGCACGACCCCAGTACCCCCCTGAAGAGAGGCACGACCCCAGTACCCCCCTGAAGAGAGGCACGACCCCAGTACCCCCCTGAAGAGAGGGACGACCCCAGTACCCCTCCTTCACAAAGTCTATGCATGTGAAATGTCCCCCCCCCCCCCCCCGAGTCCATAGATTTCACCATTAGAACAAATATTAGTGAATTCGGATACTGAATTTCAAAATGTATGTTCAGGTGACTGACCTTCTGGGCAGCACAACATGCTGGCTATAGTGAGGGAGAAAGTGAGTCGGAAAATGGTTGCAATAGTCGGGATGGACAGGGATGGACAGGGAAGGCATATAGTGGGAAGGGATATATATGTGGAGTGTGTGTAGAGGGATGCTGTGTGTGTGTGTGTGTGTGTGTGTGTGTGTGTGTGTGTGTGTGTGTGTGTGTGTGTGTGTGTAGAGGGATGCTGTGTGTGTGTGTGTGTGTAGAGGGATGCTGTGTGTTTGTGTGTGTACATGGGGGAGGATGTGTGTGTGTGTGTGTGTAGAGGGATGCTGTGTGTGTGTGTGTGTGTAGAGGGATGCTGTGTGTGTGTGTGTGTGTGTGTGTGTGTAGAGGGATGCTGTGTGTGTGTGTGTGTGTGTGTGTGTGTGTGTGTGTGTGTGTGTGTGTGTGTGTGTGTGTAGAGGGATGCTGTGTGTGTGTGTGTGTGTGTACATGGGGGAGGATGTGTGGGGGAGACCCGGGTACTGCCGGGTAGATCATCTACTCTAAATCCTTAAGAGATGGTCAACTTGTCTGTCTGTCACGTTGGAGGTCAGACGCCTAACGCTAGCCCTATTAAACTTTGCAGTATTAATGGGGATTTTATTGGGAGCATCCTAGGAGGTGGTGAGGGTTAGCACAGTTGCCCCTGAGTTGGAGCACAGGCCCCAATACCCCACCTTCAAGAAGACTGTGGATGTGAAATGTTGTGCCCAGAGTCCATAGACTTTATCATTAGTTTCGGTAACAAGCTTCATATAGTCTAGGGTAGCTGCACTAATGCAGATGTACCTAATATGTTAATAAAAAAAAAAAAAAAGCAATTTAGTTATTGCCTTCTAAAACCTATGTTCAGGTGACACATTTGCATTCTAGGCGCAACATTTTGATTACAGTGATAGGGGAAGAGCGTGTGTGCCTGGAATATTAAAAAAGAATAAAATGTGGAATGGAATATAAAAATTATAGACTGTTAACCCTGGAAACACAAACCGAAACTGTCTCTATTTTCCGCTTGTTACAACTTGTAATAAAGTTGTTACATCTTGGCTTAACGTGTTTATGACGTATTAGAACGTTGTTACAACTTGCTATATTGGTTGTTAAAACTGGTTAGGAGGTGTTAAAACTTGTTCGAACGTTGTACCAATCTTGAGATCTTGAGGTTATCTTGAGATGATTTCGGGGCTTTTTAGTGTCCCCGCGGCCCGGTCCTCGACCAGGCCTCCACCCCCAGGAAGCAGCCCGTGACAGCTGACTAACTCCCAGGTACCTATTTACTGCTAGGTAACAGAGGCATTCAGTGTGAAAGAAACTTTGCCCATTTGTTTCTGCCTCGTGCGGGAATCGAACCCGCGCCACAGAATTACGAGTCCTGCGCGCTATCCACCAGGCTACGAGGCCCCTACGTCTACCACCAACGTCGAAACGTGGAAACTACCAACGTCGTAGTTTCGGTGT